TTACTTTCAAGAAAATATCAATCATCGTAGAATTCAAAATTAGATAAAATAATGGAATCCCAACAAAATTCCATTAAAAAATAATATGATCTGTTTCTTTCATTTCCCAAAAAATGTATAAAGACAAAAAAATTATTGTATGTATTATGACAAAAAAATTGATCTCATATTTTAATTATATTTTCTTACAAAAATGATTCTCTTCCTCTAATATAAATACTTATTTATTTCTCTATTTATCAAGATAAAACAGTCTCATATAAAATACATATTTTATACTAAACAATATAAGAATTTGATTAATCTTTTTCTTCTACTGCTAAATGACTCATGATTGTAAAAATAATAATAATATAAACATTATTCTGATATAAACTGGAAAGCATAATTATTCTTTATCATCCCAAAAAATAAAAAAAATACAAAAAATAAACTATATACTTTATTTTATTATACTGCGCTATTAAATCTCTTTATGCAATTTCGATTACAAATTACATAAAGATAACTTGGAATGATTTTATTTTTAATTCTCGAAAATTTCATTATTTCATCATTGTTAACCTTTATATATATATATATATACATATATACATATATATATATATATATATATAATTGACCACTACTGAACATAAAACATAATTATATTATATTGCGCTGCATTATTGATGTCATTATCAACAGTAATATAGAGTACCTATGCCGACTGAATATTAATGATATCAATCATCGACTTCCATATCTTCCGCGAATGGATTTGTGCTGAATTGGTTCGTTTGCGAGCTTTGCATTTCTAATTACGAAACAGTTATTTGGAATTAATTAAAAAGTAAATATAGATAAAAAAAATAAGAAGAATATTATTTCCTTTTTTTAACCCTTTCGTTATGGAATGCTTTGTTTCTATGGGCATCGTCGAATGATAGAATCCCTATTTGGATCGAATGGTCGTTCATACAGGCTCCTTTACATGAATGACCATATCTGGGTTGCTGATAACGAAAGGGTTCAAAATATATATAAATAAAATATTAAAGAAATATGATGGGTAAACTGTAATATTTACCTTCATTGGAATCGCCATCAACCTGATTTCGATTTTCCGATATTTCTGTCGGTTTTTCGACCAGTTCAATATCTGAATCTAAAAATTAGACAATCTATAAAATATATGTATATGCTTATCTAAATCAAGAAAGTAATAAGGTATTTTGATTACCAATATCAGACGAACATAACGCATCTATTTCTGAAATTTTAGCTGTTTCAGTGGTTTTATTGGACAATTCGACCGTAGATGTAGCAGAAGTTGGAGAAATATTATAAAGATCTTCTATTTTTTGGACACCTGGCTTCTGCTTCTTTGGAGGATTCCAAAAATTGCAATAACAACACCTGAATCCTATGAATGCAAGTATTACGTTTCTTCATATATTGTTTACTTCTTAAGTTAACAGATTTCCAGAAATCTTATTCACCTAAATATTCAAATTCTTCTTTAAGAGCCATTCCATTATGACATTCACATTGACGACAAATTAAAGCGTAACGATTTGATGGGCCATCACCAACTAAGTAATCAATTAATCGGTCAAAAACGCTTCTCTGATGCGGCAGTACGGGGCGTGTTAATGTATACTCAGGCGATTCTAATATGTAACATAAATTTGTATTAATAAATAATATAGATACAATGATTACCAGAATATAAATATATTAATATGATTATTAAATACAAATAATTAAATATTATTTATTATTATATAAATATGAACTGATACTAACTGTTTCCCATAGATGTCCTATAAAGCATTCTAGTACCAATTTGAAGAGGAGTGTTCAACGGTGTGTTTTTAATAGGAGTTGCATCAACAGGTAAAATTTGAGCATTGGTACCACTTGAAACATTCAACGATTGATCAGAATTTCCTATAGTTCTTTTTCTTAATTCTCCCATATCAGGTGAAGAAGATGTAGTAACTTGTGATACGTTGGGTTTTCGTAATTTTTCTACTGCCTGTGGTAGTACTTTAACGGGTGCCTAAAAAACAATAACATTCATTAATCCAAATATAGTTATTAGAATTTTTCGATTTATAGAATCTCATTTCTTTTATCTATTAAATAATATAATCAGTAATTATTATTATAACTTATACTTGCAGAATTCTAAAAAAAGATATTACTTACCTTTACTGTAAACATATGAGATTCTTAATTTTTACTTAATACAATTGTGTAGACTTACTGATATCATTGTAAGTTGATCCGGTGCAAATCTCAATAAAATTTCTTTGGCCTTTCTATAAGTTTGTGTTTCGGTAACTTCATCTAAAATTTTAGTCTTCTCTCGTTGCATTGTTATCAATTTTTCTTGATTCTGAGATATTTTCTGTTTGTAGTACCATGATACCATTTTTTTAGTTAACAGTATTCTGTAGTAATACACAATGTTCTCTTCATATTTATTATCAATTCATTTAGAAATTAATAAATCAATTAACTTATATTCTTGCCTTTACATATAATCAATTTTAAGATTTTAAGGAAAAAAAAAAAGAAAGAAGAAGAAGAAAAGAAGAAAAGAACATATAATAATAAGGATACTTACAAAATTGGAAAAATTAATAACGGAGTAATATAGAATAATTGATCGTACAAAGAGGCTGGGAAGAAGTAAAAATAGAAAATGAAGGCTGTCGTGATATAAAGAGCAACACTATAAATGACAAGTGTTCCCACAATCTTTTTATGCCTTTGTTCAGTATTTTGCCCATATTCTTGTATTTCTTTTATTTTCTACAAAAAAAAGAACAAATCTTATAATTTATACAACAATAAAATAAAAATGAATATGCCTACCATAAAACAAAAGTTTCTCTTACCGAATCTAATTCTTCTAAAATTTCAATAGTCGTTTTCTTTCTCTGTAACAAAATAAAAACGAATTTTTTATTATAACAAATATAATTTAGAAAAAGTACAAAGTCATCTTGTTCAAAGTACAGTATAATCTTAAAATACAAATATTTAAAATTTATTTAAATACTAACATCAGAAAAATATTCAATACTATTGTATGCAAATACATTAACCAAAAGCGTAAGAATTCACTTAGCATTTTTTATTGTATTTATTATCTTTCAATTTTGACTAATCATCCCAACGATATAGAATCCAAAAAATGATAACGCATTAAATCTTAAAGATAAATATTTTAATCAAATTCATTCTAACACAATGAGTTTAATTCAAACGAAGAGATTAACTCAACAACGATTTATACTATATTGACAATTATTTTTGATAATAAGTTGTAACTATAATGATTATTTTAAGATATTTAAAATCGATATGCACATAATGTATGTAATATCTTAAAATAATAATGAAATATATAATACAACGAGCCTGTCTTGATTCTAAAAATAACCATAGTTGTCAGATAAAAATATTATTCATGCACATCTCTTTTTACATGGTTTGATTATAAAAAAAAAAAGAGGAAAATATAATTATAATAATAACAATAATAATAATAATATTAAAAGTTTATCTTATAATATATCAAAACCTTTAATGTGAACTATTTCAAATGTAACGCATAACCCCTTTAATACAAAAAAATTTATTTATGATGAAAAAAATACGAAGTATATAATAAGAAAATTAATAAAATATAAAAATATAAGAAAATAATACTCACACGAAATGTGGACAAAATGATTCCCATGTTTGCAAATGATAATTACAATGGTCACGTCCTTCCTTTTGTTAAGAAAAAATAAATTACTAATGTGATTGGATATTATTGTTAATTCTTATGTCAGAATTAGCATTTAATTTACAAAAGATTTATGTTTTTTTTTTTTTAATTAAACTTCGAGATTCAATTGTCATATATATGTGTATAAATATGTGTAACGGTTCTACCTTTTAAATCTGATATAACTACACCCGCGTTTTGTTCCGATATTTATAACTTGCTTCCTACAAAGATTTTCTAGATGCCAACAGGATAATGTTTACTCGCATATTGCTATGAAAAACTACATATATATACATACACACGTATATATATATATATACATATATATACATACACA